CAAGTATCTAGGGTTTGAAAGGTATGCCTATATATGAATTGCTTGAGGCTTTTATAAATCTAATTAGGGTTTCCATGATCACTATGAAGCAACTTAAAAAATATGTGATCTTTAAAATTGTTTGGATCATCTACCACAATCCGTAAGTAAAGCATGCCATTTGATGGGGAATTCACCTGTTCAGAATACAAGCAAATTTGTAGATAGGTTGTAAAAGCATTGTACATTCAATTTTTTGGTTTTTTTTTTTTTTTTTTTTTACAAATACCTCTGTACCATATTCCATTTTGGGTGCTTAATGGAATTTAATGTAGTTTTTCTGTTTTTAAATTGTTGTAATGATATATCTTGAAAATTACCTTATGGATTTTCTCCGATCTCAAAGATGATTCAGAGATAATTCTGTAAATGATCATTTTTATATCAAAACCAGTTTAAAAAAACGCTCGTAGCTGTATAAGTATGTTTTAACCAGTAGAGGGAGATAGATGACTATTTTATAAATCTGTTTTGAAGAATACTAACAGACATACTCCAAACAAATGGAGTACTCTTCTTTAAATTGCTAAAGACACTATAGAAGGATTTATTATGTTGCTTTTTAAATGTGACTATTTTATTGATGTGGTTGAAATATTTCAAATTCATATATTGCTTTCTTTCCTGAAAAAGGAAAATAATATATTAAAAAGTGTCATGAATATATTTAAACCAGTATTCAAAAGAAAAATCATTTCTACTGGTATATACTTTTAAACTGCCTTTAATTAATTTAATACAGCTTTACTAAAATTTAGATCTACATTAAATTACATCAAATTAATTTGTCCGGATCCTTTGCACTATTTTTATTCCTAGGCTAAAAGAGCAGTTCAGCAATTTTACACATAGACTCAGTTGATGTCTATTTTGACTGTTGCTAAATTGGATTTAAATTGGGTGTAGTAGCTAGAGTTCTGTGAGCAGAATGCATCTTGTTAAGAACTTAGTTATATCCTGCCAGTCTCAATCTTCCCTTTGTTTGTTCTCCCTAGCCCACAGTATGAAGATCCTTCATTTAATTTTGATGGCAGTGGATATTCAGTGGTGGAGAAAGCACTTCGCTCCACTGTGACCCAGATAATTGTATTTTTCAACACTTTTTCAACTAATGGACTCTTAGTATACCTGGCTTCCAATGGCACAGTAAGTCCCAATTGGGATAAATCCCAATTTATCAAAAAACATACAATAAGGTCCATAATCTACATTGGGGGTATTTTTTGATAAATAACTAAATAAAAATGAATAAATTAATCACTATGCCTAACAAGCTATTTATTTATTTATTAGATTTTTATCTTGCCTTTATTTCTTTATAAGTTATTCAAGGCAATGAACTTACTCCTTCGTCCTCCCCTTTATTTTCCCTATAATAACCCTGTGGGGTGGGGGAGTCTAAGAGAGAGTGACTGGCCCAAAGTTATCCTAACCCTAACCCTGCCTAATGCCTCCTTATAAGAATGAACTATCTGTGCAATGTGTTACATGCATAGCATTCTCATAAAAATGAGTGGGATTTGACTGTCCAATGATTTGGATGTTGTTGACCCAATGTGGACATCAATGAAGAATCAAGAATAAATTACATAAATTGTATTGTATGATAAATTTGATAAACCATTGTTGAATCTTTCATGACTTATAATACAGTTAGTAGCTTTTACTAAGTCTCAGCTCTTCATTTTTAGAATAGAATTAATAATACAGAATTTGCATCAAGATAATGTATGTGACGCATTCTGAGTTTTCAAATGAAATACAACTGTTAGAAGTTTCCAGGGTTATTTTACTTGTATAGTTGAATAGTTATAGCATTAAGTGTGGTGTATTTCCCTAACTTTTTTTTTCTGCAGAAGGATTTTTTGTCTCTGGAGCTTGTTGATGGCAGAATTAAAGTAACCGTTGAGCTTGGCTCAGGTCCACTTACACTTAAAACAGAAAACCGCTACAATAATGGAACATGGTATAAACTTTCATTCAGCCGAAACAAAAAGGAAGGTAAAATATGTTAGGTCAATCCAGATGTAGCTGAGTGTGTTTGTCCTTGACATTTATTTTAATTATAAAAGTTAAACCATGGGGCTATGAAAATTAGACACAATCCTTTTATTATTTTGAAGAATCAGGTACCACGTGGTCACTGAAATGGAAATGAATTGCCTTAAGAAGCACATAGCAGGACTGACTTGCTTCATCTATTTTTTCACTTCAAACAATGATTTCTGCATATACAAGAAAGTTTTGAAAATTAAAATGAACATGGGTTTTTTTGTTGCTTTTTGGTAGAAGTTTGATTTGAGTGGTTTATTCAAATACCATAATAGCAGTATCTGATTACAAGTCTGATGCACACTAAAAAAATCAACTGAAAATTCACAGAAGGAGAATTAGGATAATGCTTTTTAATGGATTCTGTATGAGCCTCTAGTATTTGGGAATTATCTTAATTGGATGAAAAAAACATCTTTATATCAGTTTAATAATGAATGAGATATGGCTGAAAAAAGCAAGGCCTTTATATTCCACACTCAAGAGTTGGTTGGTTACCTTGAAGCAAAAAAAAAAAGCATTGAAGTTGTCACTTTTCTAACAATTACCTGATAATACTGAGAAGACCCTAGGTAGATATTAAATAATGTGCATTTTGTTAGCTGAAAACCATTTCCCCTAAAATAAACCTTCTTTGTACATATTTATAATACTTTCAATTGTTGAATAGCGAAGGGTAGATTGTTTTCTTGCTATTTTGTTTAAAGTGAAATTATGTGTTGAAAAGTATTGTCTGAAATATTATATGCTTCATATTTCTACTATATGAGAGTGGGGTTTAAATGAGCTTAATCACTAACAAGACAATGTATTGGTACTGTTATATTTTCTGCAATGTTTGTTTAAATAGAAATTCCTGAATTCTTACAAACTATTCTTATTTGCTTACCTTAGATATTCCTTTTATCTTTCAGGGATTTTGGCGGTCATGGATGCTTATAGCCTCAATTCTAAAGAAATCAAGCAAGGAGAATCCCCTGGTGTTGCCTCTGACCTGAATCGTTCTGATAAAGAGCCAATTTACATTGGAGGGTTACCACGATCAAGGACAGTAAGGTACAATTAACCATGCTCAAGGGAAATCCTTAAGAGTAGGTTTCACAAAATGTTCTCAACCATTCTGTCCATGGAAAAACTAACTTCTTGAACCCAAAGGTGCTTTTTCAAGAGGCAACTGGACTTTGACATCTCGTTTCTCATCCAAGAAGCTTCTTCAGCTCTTCTCATCCAAAGGATGAAGAAGCTTCTTGGATGAGAAGCAATATGTCAAGTCCAGTTGCCTCTTGAAAAAGCACCTTTGGGACAGCTATGACCTGGATAACTGAGAATCTCCATAAACATCTAAGTTCTCAAAAGCAATAGAAGGACCAATCTCCACTGTTTGATACATGGGTGGGCACTGTACAAGAAAAAAAATCCAAGATAACAGATAGAGAAGCTTTTGCCTTGAGTCCAAGGACAGCATACCCAACCAGTCCTCCCTACTCCCTGCCAAACTTCTTTCTACTTTTCTCTTTTGTGTATGAAAGCAATTAAATCTCTGGCAGTACTAAATGGAGGTAGGGAAAGGAAGTCTCTGAGAAGACTGATAGGTCATGCTGAGGAGCAACATTTATCCCCCAAATTCCTCTAGGTTGTCATGTAACGAAAATCTGGAATTCTGAGCCAGTCCAAATCTGTTAGGCATAATTCCAAGATAAATATTTCAGGCACATATTTTCAGCTTTGAGTGTACTCATATTGAAATTGCATATGGTCCTAAATATAGTGGATGTGATCCTGATAAAAACTGGTTACTCTCTTGCCCATTTCAGCAAGATATATAAAGTATATAAAACCCATTATACTGTTCGGGCCAAAATTATGTATATGACTGTCTTTTTTCATACAATCAATCTTAAGAGTTTTGGATATTTAGTAAGGCATTTCTTGCCTATCATAAATATGCTTAACGTTAACCATTATCTGTGGTTTTCTTCCATAGTGGTCTATAGAACAATTTTCTTTTGGAGTTGTGGAGGGTACCTTCTTTTTTCAGATTTTCTTGGAAATACGTACTTTCAAAGACAGGATTTAAGTGATGGCTCTGAACAAAGAGTACCCATCATAATGTGAGGGATTTTTTTAAAAAAAAATGCTTACAATCCTTCACTTTCATGTTTAATATGGAGCATACACTCACTGTTTTTCTTTTGATCAGAGATTTCTTAAGGCATGAGGAAAAAGAATGTATAGAACGGAAATGAGATATCCATGCCATCTGATAGCTTTCATTTCTGTCTCTTTGTATTAAATTGAAAAGAGAGAATATAACAACGGTAATTGGCTGAGCACCTGCCACCCTGATTACATAGATCAAGGTTCCTCATTGGTTGAGAAACTAACTTTATTCAGCCACTCTCACTTCAAACCTTCCCTATAAACATGAGAAAATTGGAGATGGAGGAGGAGAGGAAGGACCATACTTTGTGGTTCATTTGCTTCCCTTCCCTGATACCTAAAGAGACATCTCTTAGATTCCAACAACAACAAAAATTGCAAACACCTAATGACAGTTTTAGTCATCAAATTCATCATAGGAATTTAGAAGACAAGGGTTGCCAATATCAAATGGAAAGAAAAGCTGCCTATTGTGTTTTGTATTTTTTTGAATTATTGTTATATTTTGTAATTGATGTAGTCTCTGGGTATTGTTGGAAAAGTGTTGATTTGTCAGAAGCTAATTGTGCAGTGACTCCATCCTGACTTTTATGAAGAATTTAGTATTTTGTTCAATTTTAACAGCTCAGTATTTTCCTTTATTAGGAAAGGGGTTCAAAGCAGAACCTTCGTGGGATGCATGAAGAACTTGGAAATATCCCGATCTACTTTTGACTTGCTTAAAAATTCATATGGTGTGAGAAAAGGCTGCATCCTAGAGGTAAGACATATTAAACATACTAACAGTTCTGTTCACTAGATTTAAGCTGTTTGCTACTGAGAAATGAATTAATAATACATGATGACTTTATAATGACTAGCATGTTGAGTGTTAAATAACCAAAGCTTTGCTTTTATTTTTTGGGATTTAGAGTGATATATTTACTGGTTGTTCCTTTCCTTTTGCAATCTAGCCTATACGCAGGTCTAATATCTTACATAATGGTTACATTGAGTTGCCACCCAAACCCCTTTTGGTGGAATCTGAACTTATGGCTACTTTTTCTACAAAGAACTCCAGTGGAATCATTCTTGTAGGGCTTAGCAAAGGTGAAGCAAAACGAAGACGCAGGCAAGTCCATCTTGTGAGTACCCATCACCTTTAATTTTATGCTTTTAGTTATTTCTGGAATGGATCTTGACTAATCTCCAAAAGCGAAGCAGGGTCAGATTGAGGTAATATTTGCGCTGGAGACTACCAAAAATGCCAGGGCTGCTGTCTAGATTGGAAAAAAAATCACAGACCATCTGGGAAGAAGGCAGTGGCAAGGCCATTCTACATTATTGCCAAGAAATTACAAGCCTGTGAAGTCACTAGACCTTGAGTTCAGTTCAGAGGAAATACAGATGTTTATTATCAGATGTTAGATTAAAGGTTAGGGTGGCATAATAGAAATAAGGATGCTCTCATATGTGAGTGTTTCTGTTTGAATTCTTCAAATAAAATAAGGTTGGTCAGCACAATAAACATGTAAAGTTTGAGAACATTTTCAGACAATGAAGAGAACTTTCCGTTTTCTGTTAAAAATGGATTGAGTAGAAGAGTGCACATCCCTATGTCAAGCAGGTAGTCCTTGACTTACAGCCATTTGTTCAGTAACCTTTTGAAGTTAGAACGATCTCTACTGACTGGTTGCAGCATTCTGCAATCATGTTACTGTTGTTTGCAACTTCCCTGTGAACTTCAAAAAAGTCCAGTGGGGAAGCTAGCAGAAAATGTTACAAATTGCTGGTTTAAGTCTTCCCCACCCATGCTTTCTCACCAAGTCCCTCTGTGTCATACTGCACCACTCCTTTGTGCACCCCTACATTCCCATTCCCCATCATATCTTTGTACACCCTCCCTGTGCTTTCTGCATACCATCCCTGACCTTGTACACCCTCTCTGACCTATGCCCGAGCGGTGCTGGGTTTGGGATTCGTTGGCTCAGGGAGAATTGCCACCTCTGGTCTTGGATGGGGTGGCACTTCCCCAAACAGACCCTGGTCCAGGGTTCTCCTGCACTCACAACTCCTTTTCAAAAAGCAGATGGTGGTTGTGGCGAGGAGGGTCTTTGCGCAACTGCAGTTGCGCACCAGTTATGCTCTTTCCTGGACCAACAATCCCTACTCACAGTCACTCATGTCATAGTCACTTCTCATCTTGACTATTACAACGTGCTCTACATGGGGCTGCCCTTGAAGACCCTCTGGAAGTTCCAGTTGGTGCAAAATGCAACGGTCCACATGGTTTTGTGCAGACTTGGTGTGCACATGTATCACCTCTCCTGTGGGAGCTGCATTGGCTGCCGATTTGCTTCTGGGTGCAATTCAAGGTGCTAGTTGTCACCTTTAAAGCCCTTCATGGCTTGGGACTAGATTATCTGAGGGACCGTCTCTTGCCAATCACATCTACCCAACCCATCAGAATGGGGAGGCAGGGAATGTTGCGGGTCCCATCCCCTAGGGAGATATACTTGGTGGGAGGGCCTTCTCCGTGGTGGCTCCCTCTCTCTGGAACATCATCCCCCCAGAGATTAGAATGGCCCTCACTCCAGTACTCTTCCGGAAGATGCTGAATACCTGGTTCTGCCAGTGGGCCTGGGGAAGCCAGAGTGGGATGGAGCCCATTAAACGTCTCATGTGAGGTTCTGTCACTGGGGTGGGGTGTGATTTTATTATATTAATTTATTATATGACTCTTATTCATTTTATTATTTTTATATAAGGTTTTGTATTCTGTAAGCCACCTTGAATTGCTATGTGCGAGTAGGCAGCAATATAAATTCCCTAAATAAATAAAAAAGTATTATTGACCTACAACCTTATATAACGTCCCTGACACTTGCCACATTTTCCTTACCCTTACTGTGTTGCATCGTCTACTTTGGTTGTGGGTAACTGGCAGGAAGTTTCCTTTCTGAATGACAATGGGATTTGAAGTAATAAAATAAAATTCCAAGGTAGAGGAGGAAGAAAGAGAGATGTCCTTTCCCTCTCCCTGTCCACATTTTAATATGCCTAGCAATATTGGAGTAAGGGATGCAGTGGCTCAGTGGCTAAGACACTGACCTTGTTGATCAGAAAGGTCGGCAGTTCAGTGGTTCAAATTCCTAGTGCCGCATAATGGAGCGAGCTTCTGTTACTTGTCCCAGCTTCTACCAATCTAGCAGTTCGAAAGCATGTAAAAATGCAAGTAGAAAAAATAGGAACCACCATTGGTGGGAAGGTAACAGCATTTCATGTGGCTTTGATGTTTAGTCATGCTGGCAACATGACTATGGAGCGCTGGCTCTTCGGCTTTGAAATGGAGATGAGCACACACCCCTAGAGTCGGGAACAACTAGCACTTATGTGCATGGGGAACCTTTACCTTTACCTAGCAATAATGGAATTTGTTTTTTCCCTATTCCTTGTAGCCCTTTTTCTCCATCATGCTAGTGAATGGTCACTTGGCTGTGCAGGTCCTTGCTGGTGACCGAGCAACTGCAAAAAGGGTCCTGGTCAAGTCTACCAATGGAACTTACAGTGATGGAAACGAACATTCTGTTATCCTCACTCGGAATAAGAGGTACAAGCTGAAGTACTAATGTAATTACCACTTATGCTCTCTACTATGTTGTCTAAGGGACCAGCATTATTTCAGAAAAATAATCACAGTTATGTTTTCCTGTTGTTCAGTTTCCTGTGTTAATTATATTTTGTGTCCAGCTACAGATTAAAATGTGTGTGATTATTCCCTTTATAATTTGTAGATGCTTTGACTTCCAAAGGGAATGTTACCAAATATTTGTAGAACATAGAAATACATAATTAACTTTAAGATGTCTACAGTAAGAAGCCTTCAGGTCTTATGTATTTTTTTTAAAAAAGCCTACAAGAGAAATTAATTAGAAAGTCATTAGAAAGTCTGATGTCTCACAGTAGCAAGCCTCCAAAACATGTTGGAGAACAAAATTATGCTCTAGTTGAATTTGAATTTGAATTTGAATTTGA